TTCTCGACGCCGCCGGGACCTCTCGCGAGACCCTCCATTCGGAAAGACGAGCGCGACGCCTCCCGGCGAGGCGAGAGAGGGAGAGCGGAAATTGCCGAGAACGGATGGAACCCGAATTTCGAGATCACGCTCGTATCTTGATTTCATCCCGATATTATCTCGACTTAGATTAATAATCCATTGATGCCTCGAGGGCAGGTACCGCATCGAGTCCCACGTGGGTGGACTTTGGCAATGGGCATGTGCATATTGGTGGAAACGAATGCCTTCCGTCAGCGACGCGAATCGTGCACTGACGTCGCCTTATCGACAGAGGAGGCACTCGTGTCCCCCGCTGTACCGGGTGGCGAGGTCTACCCCCTCGGCAGTCAAAGGGCCACGTGGGCCGGCGGCCTCTTCCGAGAGCGCGCCGGGGAGCGAACCTCTCCGGCAACCGGGCCGAATCCGACTGAACCGCAGAATGGAAGCGACGACAAAGTGCATCGCTCGTTGCGGGAGCCGAGCGGGGCGGGCGGCCCGGGGCGGCGGAGGGACGAGGTGAAGTACCGCAAGGTGGCTCTGCCCTCGTACCTCGTGGGCCGCCGGTGGGTATCAGGGGGAATCGGGGGGGAGTTGGGGGGCATCGGAGGGAGGACACCCACGGAGCATCGCGTACACGCGTTCGCGCTCCCTCTCCCCGCCCGCTTCTCGCCGTCCTCCGCTCTAGGTATCGTCGTCGGGCCGCGTTTACGCGGTCGCACACGCGGCCGCGGAAAGTCCACGTAACGCGTCCCGTTCCCGTCGATACCGTCAGCTGTTGCGCGTCCGTCTCCTGACGGCGGACACGTACGACCTTGCGCGCCGGCACGCACGCGGCCGCGTTATCGCCCGGGGGTGCCGACGGACACCGGGAAGAGCCTCGCGCGGATCGTCGATTCCGCGGGCCGAAACTTCGGCGACGAAATTTCAAGCTCGGACTCCACCGACCAAATTTCGCACTATCCGGCAACAAGCCCTCGCGGCCGAAAATCGTCGAAAAAAAAAAATTTGCGACCCAACCTCGTCTGACAAATTATGCGGCCGAATCCTGCCGTGAAATATCGCAGGCAGATCCCACCGACGAAATTTGACGGTCCCCCGATATCGCCGAAGAGACACGCTTATCACCAGCGATGAGATTCGGCGACGAAAGAGTCAAGGCGCCGGTATTTTCCGGGGGGGGAGGGGTCAAGGAAAACCCGCGAAACGTCGAGTTACGAGGCGAGAGAACGAGCGGCACCTGCCGCGCGGCGGGGACGCATTCTTCGGGCCTCGACCGCAACTCGCCATGGTGCGGCCGACAGGTCCTATTATATTCGGCGCGCGCTCATTTGGGCAGGCCCCGAGGATCGGTCGCGCGCCTCCATTAACCCCGGGCGTGAAATCCGCCGGCGGGCGACACACAATGCCCGAAACCGGAGTAGGGGGAACGACTCTCCCTCTCGCTCCCTCTCGTCCGCGCCTCTCCTCCCGTGCATCTCCTTAACCTACCGCAACGGCCGCGTATCGCGGCCCGCGTTCTGCACCGGGGATGCGCCCCCTTCCCCCCCCCCCCGCGAATCGATCGACTCGCGTAAACATCGCCGGAGCACGTGTCGCGATTCCCGTGACACTCGCCGGGACCGCGACCCAGAGGGGAAGGGGGAACGCGTTTACGAGGCGCGAGTCGCGCGAGGGTGGAAACGAGAGATAAGCCAAAAAAGAGAGAGAGAGAGAAACCGAAATAAGCCGAAAAAAAAAAAGACTGGAATCATCGACGTCCTCCACGGGTCACACGGAATGCGTTTTCCTGCGTCGCGTTCTCAGGAAGGAAAGTTCGTGCCAATCGACGTTATCTTCGGAAATGACGCGCAGGGTGAAAGCCCCGGGTCCTAGGGGGCAACGCGTCGACGCGCCGCGCTCAGTGTGACCTCCCCGCGTTATTCGGTTTGCCGGAGGAAGGTGTTCATGGACGAAGACGAATACCCACCTCGTGAACGCGGTAACGCCAATGGGAGAAGGGATAGTTTTCGGGTCTGCCGTGGTACGTAGGGTCATTCCCGTTCGCGTACCATGAGGTATGATCCGTAATCCCTTTTTCATCCGTTTAATCCCGACGTAATCGTTCGCGGTGCCGGATCGCCGCTTAAACGATCCTTTCGACGAGTCGTCTCGGCGATCGCCGAGAGACGAATTTGCGAGACCCCAGGGTAACGAGCATATCGGATGTACAGGTGCGTATACTCCAGGTAGCTTGTAACGATATATCGATGCCACCCTAACGACCCCTCCCGCTACTCACCGGGGACCCGGCTTGGACCGATCGAGCACGGCCAGACGACCTAATCGCCCCCGCCCCCGCCCCCAACCCACGGGCTCGAACGTAAACGTAACAACGTGACCGCCAAAGAGGACGGCCGCGAACACGTGGTCCCACGTAACGCCAACCGAACTCCCATGCCGTGCAATTTCCCGCAAATGCGCGATCGGGTCAGTCCTCGTGGACGCGTCTTTTCCCTTTGTTCGCCCAATACATATATACGTCCACGCAGCGGGTGGAAAGGCGTAACACCGGTAGCCGAAATCGGATACATGGGAACCACCATTCCTTTAGAGATTAATTAGTGCACCACCATCGGCTACCGGGTACGCCCGATCCCACGTACATACGAACCGTGCCCCTACCCTCGAATAATATTTTAAAGCTCCATTCTCCAGTAAAGGCCCTTCTAAGTGAGAACCGGAGGGCGCAATTGACTTATATCGCGGGACCCTTGATTCAGGAATAATCGGGTCCCATGGTACGCTCAGGTTAGGATAAGGATAAAATCGCGACTGTCACGGGATTGCGACAAAGACTGGGATAAAACGTTTCGAGGACCGCGTAAGTAGAATCGGCGTCCTAAGCGTAGCGTGGCGTCGCGTGGCGTCGCGAAAAAGAGTTAGCGGGGTATCTCGACGCGAGACGCCGGTGAGCCGGAGAAAGACGGAAGGAGGTAAAGAAAGAGAAGCGCGGGTCCCCTGCGGCTTCGCCGGTAAGTGGCTCGAGGGGGGGGCCCCCTCCCGGTCGGCGCGCTTACAAACAAAGCGCGCGCGTAAAACGGGCCGCGCGCGTAAATCACGGTCCACGTGGTTTTCGCAGGCAGAACTACGACGCCGAGGCGAATTTATGAATGGAGGTCTATTGACAGATCGCGCCTCGATAACTCTCTCATTAATGGCCCGTTGGGTTTACTATACGGCGCGCGAGTCTCGCGGCCGACGCCGCGGTATTACAACGGCGTCTCCCCCCTCAAATGCCCCCTCCCCTCTCGCCTCGCGGTGGCGTTAACGACCGCCGACGGAAAACGAACTCGCACCGATACCGGACGAATACCTCGGAATACCCCCGAACAGCCCCGAGCGTCTCCGACTGCACGCGCGACGGCCTCGTCTATCTCGTTCCCAACCTGACCCGACACTCGGCTCTCCGTCTCTGTCCGTCCACCTGTGCGTACACAAGTGTCCATCTCCGTCTGGCCGCGCGTGTACGCGTGCCGACCCCGCTCCGCCGTCCCCGCGGCCTGGAGTGGCCGGACGGGAGATTTTCCGCGGGGACGAGATACACCACGTGGTATCGGCCCTACACCGGTCCCTTTCGGTCATGGGGACGCGCGCGATTTGGTTTTTGCGGAACCCAGGATGGGTGCGAAACCCAGGATAGCTCGGAATGATCGTTTCCTAGGTGATGACGCTTCCGGCGCATCATCAAGGACTCCGGATCACCACCTATAAAACATGACACCGATTTCTAGACCATTCGAAGAAGAGGGTAATCCCTCCCGAAATTCATTTCCTGGATCCGTATCCAAGTTATTCGGAACCCCGAAGTTTCCTTGTGGAAGGACACGGGGAAGTGAGTGTACCCTTGATTTAAACCGATTTCTCCCGTTAAGAAAAATGAAGAAAATATGAACGCTCGCGTAAAGGAAGTTGAGAAAAAAAAAAATGTGAAGCCCGAAGCGAGACTCGGAGGGCGAGAGAGACGGAGAGGGAGAGAGAGGGAGCCTCGCCAAGACATCCTCGGCGAGGTATCGATCCGGCTCGTCCGCGCGCGACCTCACGGTTTTCGAAATCCCCCGAAAAATCGAAAACTCACGGAGTCGCGCGCCTACGAGCGCGAACGGCGAACCGGAAAAGGAGGAAAAAAAGCCAGGGGGGCACCCTTAAAAACATCCCCTCGCGGGTTGTTGTCGTCGGCGTAACCATGGCGACGCTGCCCCCTCGCCGGTCGTAACCACCCCCCCTCCCGCTCGGGCCGTCCCCGCCCCTGGCGCGGCGAGCCGTCGCTAGGTTTCCTCCGCGACTGGCCAAGTAAAGAGTCGCCGCCGCCGCGGCCTCAGTGCCCCTTCCCCCTCCCTGCCCTCTGGGTCGCTCCCCGCTCCCGCCCGCCCCCGCCGCTCCTCTCCGCCCACAGGCCAAGGAAACGCGGGATCGCTTCGAATTCAAACTACCGAACACGAGGTTACCACGCGTCAAATCTGACGTTCCGGCCCGCGACCGCCGGTCGCCGACGGTAACCCTTCCCCTTCGGGGAGCTCGCTAGAGACGCGGCGATTCGGCGAGCGGAGGAGCGACGAGGACGGAGGTTCCGAAATAGCCGAGGAACCCGCGAGCGAGAGGCCTGGCCGCGAACGAGGCTACGCGTAATCTTGACTCGGGGATTACTCGGTATCGAGGTCGGCGATGACCGCGGCGAGGAGTCCGACCGACGGGTCGAGGACCTTGACGGAAAGGCGACGATCAATTGCCGTCGAACGGGCGTCAGGGTGTCGGGTATGTGGCCCATCTTCGGACTTTCCGCGCCGCGGAGGTCGTCCGGGTCACCTACCGCGACGGTCGGGTCGGCTCCTGAGGCGGAGAGAGCGAGTCGGTAAGACAGGGATCGGTCGCGGCCGAGGCTCGCCGTCGGCGCCGGGGACGTCGCGGCGCTCGGCTCCGCGAGGAGGGTACACTGGACTCACCTGACCAACGTCGCACCACATTATTATGTAGCTGGCACCGAAGACGGCATCTTGGGTCGTTCGTAAACCATAGGCGGCTCGAGTCGGTCGTTCTCGGTCTCGGTGGAAAAGTGTCGTCCCTCGGGGAACCTCCCGACGGCGCTCGACTCGGTGGCCTCTCCCGGGCGAACTCGGGGCACGGGACACGCCGTCGAGATGCGCGGCCTCGCGGGTCAGTCAGGCTGTGTACCCGGTCGCGTTAACGCGCGCGGTCTCGCACTCCTGCTCTCGGCAAGGACTCGCACCGACGATCCTACCGGCTGGCTGGCCATGCAAAGCATTACTGAGTACTCTGACAACAGTCCGACCCGAGTGCCGCCGCTCGGTTTTCCCCCGAGCGCGCTCGGCCGTTTCCGCCGGCGCTCGGCCCACCTGCACGACAGGCACGACGGCACGGCGCGCAGGGCCGCGCACCGCGCGGGCGCCGGGCCCCGGCCGCAGGGCCGCCGAGGCCGACCCGGGCGCCCCGCTCCGCTCGACAATTTTTCTCCCTCTCTCTTTTCTCGACCGCGCGCTCTTTCGATCGCTAAAAATTAACCGGCGCGACGAGTTCTTGATTTTCTAACGACGCTGGTCGGAAATTGCGACGATCGCTCGCCGAATTTCAGTGGTAGTCGGCGACGTGGAATCGAAAATTATGCGGCCAAGAATGCTTCGTATAAGTGCACGGTGTTAATGCATAAAAACGTGTCTTACGACAGAGAACGCCAGGAGATCGTTGAGAACTATTTGTAACGCGAATAGAGCGGGGGTAGAAAATGAAGCAATTTCGATAGCAGGTCCGTACTTAGAGATCCTACGTGCCGCTTCTTCGGCCGGTAACTGTACCTGAATGGGCGCAAGTAGAATGACCCCGTCTTTCTCTCTCTCTCTCTCCCCCTCATCTCGGGGCTCGTAAACTCTTAATGACGCGAGCCAAGCAAAACGCGGCTTAATACAAATAAAGCACCTGTGCGCGCGCCGCCGGCGCTTTCCCTTTCTTTTCGTTCCCTTTAACCCTTTCGGCACCGAGACCTGCCGGTCTCGTCGATTCTTCCCCCGTGCAGACTCCAAACACCGATTGCAAACGTTGGATGCTTAACACCATCTCGGTCAGCTTTCGACATATTGCCCTAGGATATCTCGAAAGACATCCGTCACTTGCATGAAGAGGTTCGATGCATCTTTTTTTTTTACACCCCAGGATAATGTTCGAAAACACCTTCCGTTGCAATTTTGGGGGTTGGTCGTAAAGCGAGCTCCCCGATCCAATTAAAAGGCCACGGTTTACCGAGCAATTCAGACGAAAGGTGTCCCCGTCGAAGCCGGGGTCCACGTTAGGGTAAATTACGGCAAGCTCGGTACAGGAGCGAGGATGCTGTTTTAATTTAAGGCGCTCCAGGAGGCGAGGATCTCGTCCTGGAAGGGTCGACGTTCTCGCAGAGTGCCCGAATAAGAGGGACCGAGAAAGACGTCCCCGAAAATAGGGTGACGACTCGACTCCGAAATCCGACACCTTCGAGGACCCTCCCGAGGCGCCAGGCCGAGTCAATGAGTACCCCCGACACCTGTGAAATCAAGGTGTAATAATAATACCCCCGTGGCGAGGCGATTTAGAGAATGCCCCCGCACGATGATCGGGACCCTGCCTACCTGAGGCATAAATTCTCCCGCAAGCTCGACGCTAATTTACGCGCTGGTGCTCTCTGTCCCTCCACCGCAGTTTTACAACAATTTGGCCACAGGTGCGACAGGGCACACCTTCCCGTCCCTTCCGTTCTTTGCCGTCCTTTTCAAGGAAACTACCCATCTCATGACCCAACTTAACCCCATCCTCGGGAAATTCGAGCGGGCTCGTTGGGAGAAATTCACGGTGCCTCGGTTACCTTGGAAAGTGGAATTCTGAAAAATGCCTCGAATCGATGGGAGCGGGCTAAGCGACGCGCCATTTTTCGACCCCTCCGTGCGTCCCCCGACGCTGCGGCGCGACGTCGACCCTTTTCCTCGACGTATCCTGGCGACGGCGAGATCGCGTATCGCTAGAATTTAATTTATGCTAGCGCGACGTCGGGATGGGACACGGCAGGCTCTCGTCTTCGACGAGGAGGAAATTGACCGAGAGCCGCAAATAAAGCGCGCCGCGAAAAAGACGGCGCAAAATCTCCAGAGCGCCGCGGCGTCCCTCGCGGCTACGACCTTCGATCCCGAACCTGGCCAAAAGGACGAAGAGGAGGGAAATTCAAGAGGAGGTCTTCTCGACGTTTTCATCGCCCCGAGAAGACAGCGCGACCTCGCGCGCTGCAGCGGCCATTTCTGCCGGCCGCTGGCGCACGCCGCGCGGGAACGCGCGAGCGGTTTTCTCTCGGCGATTACGCGACCGGTCCGCTCGACGGCCAATCAACGGCGAGATGCCGGCCGACGCCTCTGGCACCGCGGCGCCGCTTAGCTACCGTGGAAATCCTCGCGGCGACGCCGAGCGAGTCCGACGTCCCTTCGGCGCACGCGAGCTAGCCCTTCCCCTGCAGGGTTCAAAATATATACTTGAAATAAATGTAAAAAAAAAACATTTTCCCTCTGCCAGAGAAATATTTCGTTGCATGATGCCAAATTTTCTTAATTCAAAGAATAATTATCTGATTCGAATAAACCCTAATAAATTGGATGCTACGGTTTTTATTTTTTTTATTTTTTTTTTTTTTTAGGAATTATGACAATTTATTTCAGTTTCTCTGGGTGAAATAATTATTTCTCCAATGAACAATGTGTTTCTTTGGTTCAATGTATTTTTGTTTCTCGGTGTAGGATGCATACAATTGCAGTTCTCTCATGTTGAAATATTATGAAATTCTGCACACGATTTTCTATACAATTTTTGATAGAATCTGGTTTTCGGGATTTTATTAGATAGGAATTTTAGGCGTGCGTAATAAATTTCGAAATCTTTTGCATATTAATTTTCGATACCATCTCTGGGGGAATTCACGACAATTGTATACGAAGGTGTGCAGATGCGTGCACGAAAAATGGAATGCTCTTTTTGTACTGGTTTTCTCTTACGGAAACATACGCCATTGTATGTATTTTAAGAAAAGCGAATAATAGGATATTTATTAAAATTTCAACCGATCTCCTTTCTCACCTTAGCGTTTTGTTCAAAATTTTGGAAGCCTACTTTCGCAGGAACTCTCGCGTAGAAACGGCGTTGTTCGAAATATAGTGCACATTCGGCCGGTTTGCATTATTTGTCTTGCACTTTTCGCAAGACCAAGATCGTAAGACCTGGACGATTTTGTTTCATCCCGACTTCCATCCCGAGTCCACCGCGACCCAATAAAAAAGGGACCGTGATTTTTCATTTGCCGTTCCGTATCTCGCGAGGGTAACCCGATTAATTCGATCCCATCTTCCGAGGGATGCGGACGCGTACGGGGACACGCGCGGGGAAGCGGTCTATTAACGAAAAATTTCATTTCGACCGATGCGGACGAATTCGCCGAGAATTGCCCGGAGAAGTGGCTCGGCGGACATGCGACGGGCTGGTTCCGAGCCGCCTTCCCCGGCTGGGCAGCCGCGGTCTGCTGGGCGAGTCGCTCAGAATCATAGAGGCGCTCCTCTATTTATATAATCGAACTGGCTTCGGCCGCGCTCCGCCTCGGAAAATCGCGACGGGGCGGCCGCGTCGACGTTTTCCCGCCATTCTCACGCTCGTAGACTCTCCTTACCTAAACTCACTTATTCATTCTCACTATATTCTACAAATTCTAATCTACTAAAAAAAAACTACTTGTTTTAATAAATATATATAACTGAAAATGGGCCAGTGAGATTTGTCTGCAGAAATCTGTTATATGTTTTTGCTATATGGGCAAGAGAAAAACTGGGGTCACGTAAATTAAATTCCTGACTGCGATATTTCTACTAACGGTAACACACTGAATATTGCTCATTTGATCGATTAGTGATAATAACAATTTATTGATTATTGCTACAAGTTTATCTGCCGATATAGTAGACACTTTTTCTATAGGAAGCTTTTCTACGGTTACATCCAGGTTTGGCCCAATTGCAGATACTTTTGGTGTTAGTGCAATTACTCCCGTAGCAAGCGCATTCATCAACAATGCCCTTGATAAGAATAAAAATGTCTTTTTTTCGTTGCGGATTTCGGATTGTGGGGAGCAGTGCTTTTGAGTTTCGATAAGAGGTTTCCTCTTCTCCTTGTCGCGCGATTTCGAGTTAACTATTTCTCACGGAGCCGGGGAGCAAAGCCTACGCTAAACGGGGCGCGTTTCCAACCGAGCTGACAAATTGACGCGGTGTCCGCCCTCGGTTCGAGTTCCCCCTCGATCCCTTGACCGGGACCGTGAATGCAAAACGCCGAACAAATCCGGAGGTGTTCGGCCGCGCGGCCGGAGAAGCGGAACTCGATAATTGGAAGGCCCACCGCGAGTCAGCCGAGGTATATCGGGTGACCGGAGGGGTTCGATGACAACGACAAGTGTTTTTCGAGGTAAACAATAGACCGGCCCACGGGTGACCGAGTGACTTCTCGGCCGCACGGCCTTTCCGCACCGGGCCTTCCGGAGGAACGGCCGAGCCCCGGCGGCGCCTCGCGATCGCTTGTAAATTTCTCAAGGCTGCTCGCTCGATCGCCGCGAGAAAGAGAAAGAGAGCGAGAAAGTCAGGGGAAAAGGGACGACCGGGGAGAAGACCGTGTTTGGGAAGGCGTTTACGAGTCGCCGCTTTTGATCTCGCCTTCGCTTTCCGTCCAGGAACGCGACCAAGCCGGACCGGACGATCACGGTCGAGAGCCGAAAGGATTACTAGAAATTCTAAAAATCCTAAGGATAGTCAAGATATTGTATATATTACAAATATTACAGATATGAAAAAGCAGTAAAACTGGAAAGAAGGGGAACGGAGACGTCCGGTCGATGCCTGCCACTAAAATCGAACGTCTAGAGAGCTTTTCCAGCAGCCAGACTTGGATCGGAGCTTGAGTGAAAATTTAAACGAAACCATGGCAGACCGGGCGTCGGAACGCGAATTTCTGGAACGCTCGGTATAGCCAACCTGCCGGCGAACCAAAATAGGTCGGGCGGACGGTCGATACTGGTCGAACCGCGGAGCAGTGATCGTTACGAACAGGTCCGTCCTCGTTTGAAATTAATGATGAGCAAAATCGGTCTTAGTCCCGGGCTCACATACTGGAGTCTTCCTCGATCGAGTCTTGCCCTTTTTGCAGCACGCGGACCAAGACCATAAATTCAAATTTCCTGGTCACT